ACTAGAAAAGTTTATTTGTGGTGAAAGTTAAGATTTTCACCTAAGACAGCAGCTTGAATTGTAGATAAATCATATACTGTGAGATTTCCTAAGAAAACCAAACCAAACAAAATAGCCCACAAGTACTTACAACTTGCCACCCTCCAGACTTATTCAGTGTGTTTTGCTGCTGTTTATTCTATCATTTGTTGAAAATTTTCCAATCTTTTTCCCCTGTCAGCTTCCATTGAATTCTAATTCGGTATATATTTCACCTCCGCATTATCTGAGTTTTCAGAGAGCTGTGTTATCATTATGGCTTCTCCTTCACTTCAAAAAATACAACAAACTGAAAAGAATGGTCTGCTACTCAGAAAGAGTCAGGATAGAGGTGAAGCTTTCACTACAGATACATCTCACAAAAGAAATAGGCCAGATGGTACAAGCATTTCATCAGGCTCCACAAGCACATATTTACCATACTGCCATATACCAAAAGCACAGAACGATGGAAAACTCCACAGTTGCTGTTCTTGTAAGGCTTAACAGATATATAACAAAGGATTAAGAACAAAATACACAATGGGCTTCCAAAGGTTGATGGTTTACTCCTAGGGAACTTGTAGGACTTAAAATACTTCCAATCTGCATGGCTCAAAATTTGAGATGGCTTTTATCACTTAAGCAGAACTTGCACTCACCAGTGCTTGTGACCTCTGAGGCTGAAGAACTAGCTGGTTTCTACTTCTATTTTTTATAGTTATATTGGCAAAGGACTGAAAAAAGTGTAACTTCCACAAAGATGGATGTACCCACTGTTTGGGGCTGAACACAAACATTTTGCTGTTTTCCAAGGCTTGTGTGTTTGGGTGAGTGGATTGAAGAACTGCAAACCCAGATTTTCATTTGCCTGCACATTTTATCTGTTATATTTGAAGTTATAAATCAAAGGACAGAATAGAGATAAATGTTTTCATTGCTTTCCTGAAAAAAAAAACCTGCTTTGGACTGTCATACTTTAAAAGCTAAAAATACTATATACTTCTTAAAGGACCAGAGCTTAAGTTAATTAAGAAAACAATATTCAATCCCAGTCTCAAAATATTACCTTAGGCAACAATACAAATCTGAAAAATCTGAAAAATTTCATCTTCTCACAGACTCTAGAATAGCATAAATTGCTCTCTTAACACTAAAAAAAAAAACAATCAGCAGTGAAATTCAAATTTATCTGTTCACCAAAGTCAGCAGAAGAGTCAAAAGTCAAGAATATGCTTACGAGTTTAACATGCACACGGACAAAGTAGATACCTTTAGCAGAATACACATTCTAAGTATTTTTAAAATGTTGCATCTTCCATTCATGCCATCTAAAAATGTCCTCTATTTTCTTGCCAGAATAGCTGATGGATCTTACATTTCTACATACAGTATAGACATTCAAATAGATGATTACTTATAAAGGGGGAGGACTTGTTGATGTTTGTCTGCAATTGCACAAAAAAAAGTATTTTTTCCTTTTTATGAGAGGGGGTTTGGTTAGAATTTGGAAAGAGTTAGGAAATAACCCATATTTCCGAATGGAAATATGCAAAGAAAAAAAAAATTTATTTCTCATGCTAGTCACCATTCAAAGTCTGTGTGAACAACAGAAAATGGTTGTCAAAAACATTCCTCACATGAACATTAATTTAGACATCAAATTCTTGTCCCCTTAAGCTGCTAGTGAACCTCCTTTTTTAATTCTACTTCAGCTTTTTATTTACATGGTCTTACTTAAGAAGGACACACAAAGGAAAAATATAAATATATTTCGCAGATAGACTTCTGTATTTTGTATATCCTTCCCATCTAGTGCACAAAAAAACCCAAAAGGAATGTGGTCATTAAATTGTTACTTCACTGATTAGGAATTCTGCTTGGAATGGTTAAGCTAGAAAGCACTTGCTCTGTAACAAGCATTACAGAATTGAACATAGCACTGCTAGGGCTCAACAAATGTCCCTTCACAAAGAAAGGCTACATTGCCTACGTTTTGTTCCATGCTGCCAGTTCATAGGGTTTTTTCCATGAATTATTAATGAATCATTGTGAACAGGCAGCAGAAATAAAAGAAATAAAACATGTAAAATTAAGCCTTTAAATTTTTTCCCCCCAGGTGTAACAAGAACGTAGCTCGGAGAACTTAAGCCTGCGCATAAGGACACGAGGATGGTATAAAAAAAAAATCTGAATTTACTTGTTTGGATTCCTCAGACAACCTTGTAAACAATTCCTGATTTACAAATCTTGCCATTTGCAGACCAGCTAAATCATCTGATGAGAGAGAAGAAAAGAAGTAAGGTAAGACCTATCACCTGTCCCTGAACTGACTAAAAAATGCTGATGGCATCACAGTAACCCAATGGGTAGGAGATTGAGATATGCAGAGCAGAAAACCAGTGTGGAAATGAGCTGTGCAAGTAACATCTGGTAAAGACCAACACTGCTGTAGTTTCCACAGAGTCAGCTGAAAACAGGGCACTGTCCAGTTCCACTTAGCAGACAATTCTGAGAAAAGTGGCTCTGTAAAGTGTGGAACGGGGAGGGCTGTTCTTAAATTCTTGCACGTACATCTATATACACGGATATGGCGTGTGTTTGTATAAATCAAAGCATCCTCTCATCAGCCTTCAAAAAAATAGGGGGGCAACTCTACAGTATTGCTCACAGGACTATTTTATTGCTATCAATGCCTATCATACTTCAGAACAAAAGCTGTGTCAACTGTATGAAGGTTTTTGCCATTTAGTTGTGATGTTCAGGTACAAGTCTTCTAATATTCTTGTCTCAACGAACAACAGGACTAACAAAGTCATCTGCTCATAATTAAAACTTTTCATGGACTTTTTAACAGAGGTGTTATAGGAAGACCTCAGCTAGATTTCCAGATGTACACTTCTGTGCCTTTGAAGAGGGAAAATAAAGAAAATTAAACCTGTATACATATATAAAAATGTGTACTTGAAAATGTGAGATGCCTTCCCTCTGTAATTGCTCAAAGGCCAAATTTGAGCATTCTGAAATTTGTGGTCTGGCATCAAGAAATTCAAAGTCTGCATCAGAATTCATGGCCCATCTCTAGAATTACTTTAAAACATTTTTCCCTCATGCCTGGTGTATTTACTACAGAACTCAAAGATCAAAAAGAAAAGCTTTGCAAGTTCCTCAGTGCTAATCTTGGTGGCATCTTTCAGCTGCCCTTTTAAAGAACAGGCACAAACACTTTATAGTGAAGTGGAATTAACTCACTGTGAGGAGGTATGCAGCTTACTGAATCTGTTCTGAATCTGTCTGAGATTATTTAATGAAAAAATTAAAAGTTCATTTCCCTACAAGTCCTTCTAGAAGTGAACTCTGAGAAAGCTTGAAAACACTCTAGGCAGCAGAAAATCTTTCTGCTCACAGCTCTGAGCTGGAAAACCCAACTGTTTGGTCTCATCATTGAACTAAATTTCATGACAGATCTTACATTTTTGTTTTTGTCTATTCTGTACCCATAACACGGCAACAATTCCATGAGTTTTTATTTCTATTTCTTCTATTTTACCCACACTCTTTGGCTAAATGCTGCTATGCTTCAAACTATTATAGGTATCCAATCAAAAATACTTCCCCTGCAATCCACAGGCAGTCACCTCCAAATCACTGACAACAGTACCTGGTTCACAACTTGAACTATTTATTCTTTGTGAGTGTGAATACCCCAAGAGCTTTGCACCAGAGACCTCTGCAAGCTGTATTACATATTTTTCAAAATTTTCTGCTGAAAATGCACAAATAGGAGCCTGAACTATAGACATTGTGTGACAGGTTAAAAAGGAGGAAATGTAAAAAAGATGGTTTTGCAGATGGATTTTGACCCAAAGTAACTGCCATACTTTTGTAGCCTTACATGCATCTGTGGATACAGAGCAAGGGACAAAGTATGAGAAGTATACTAAAGTACAGGATCATATTTGGGTATCAGAAAGGGACAGAGGCCCTTTCTGATACCCAAATATCCCTTTCCCTTGAAGGGAAGACAAACACAAATCATGGCCTGCCACGGAGCATAAATCCCCTCAGAACCCTCCTGAAAGAAAAACCCCAGAAATCACCAGGACTGGTTCCACAGCATTAGAAAGTAGCTGCAAAATCCTCCTCTCATCCCCAGAAAACTTTCCAATAAAATGTCTGTGGCAGTCATCCAAGCTCTCGAGGACGCTAGGTTTAAGTACAGCCAGGGTGTACATTGAGGGGGAAATCTTCCAGAGGATTTGGCTCTAACGCAAGCTCAGATATGGCCTATGGCACAGTCAGACCTCACCTGAGGTCTTTTCCAGATGTAAATTTTGTTGTCCTTTTGATCTACTATGTTCTAAAAAGTAAATGCCTCCTTCTCAAACTTTACATGACTTTGGAAGATCTGTGCACACCGAAGCTGCTCAGTTCAGTGCCCAGGCAGGGCCGGCCTGTGCACCACACAAATAAATAACACAAAGGAAGAAATGGCTTCATTTTGTGCTGTGTCTGGTGGAGAGGAGCAGCCGGCAGGGACGTGAGGGGAAGGCCCCTGCCCTTCTGTCACCACCTATGCCCCATTTCCCGCCTGCCAGCTCTGCTGTGGGCCACAAACCCGCAGCCCAACTCCATGAGAAACCTCTCCATGCAGTTTACTTCAAGTGTCAACACTTCCATCACTGCCTTAAACCTCCCCTTTGGAATCGCAGGGAAAGCTGCCCAAGTGAGACTTGGGAGCTTTGTTTAGTTACTGTTCAGCTGTGGCATCGCTCCAGCAGGAGAAGTGCCCCTCATCCCTTCCTTCCTCTTTATCCCAGGCCAGTTCAACACAGCAGATCCCCCTTCTGCTTCACAGGGGGCAGACATGGCCGAGGTGCTCACACAGACACCTCCTGCTGCCAAAATGGTGGTGAAACACCGCAGCCTTTCCTCAAAAGAGCTTTACAGGAACCCCTGGCAAACCCAAAGCCCGCCTTTACCTGTGGCTGGGAGCTGGGCCTCCAGGGTGGCAAGGATGGCGATCCTTCTCCACTTCATCATCTTGCCAGGCCAGACAGTGCTGGGAACGGGAGAGAAGAGGAAGAAGAAGATGAAGAAGCTCCTCCACGGGCTGTGCTGGTGTGTGGCCGCCACAGGAAGAGGCTCAGCTCCTATGAGGGCTTTCGGAGTCCACCTGCTGGCTTCCTCTGCCTTCACAGCCTCTGACTGAGGGCTGGGGTTTGCCTTCTTGGTACTGATGTTTGGGGTTTCCTTTGTTATTCATCCTTTTCCTCTCTGCAAGATGGTTTCTTTCTGTGAGTTGGGGTTTTTTTCCACTCTGTCTGATGGTTCCTAGATCATCCCCACTCAGCGGCTGTTGGTCTCTGTTTCTGGTATCGAATTTGACCTGACTTCAAAAAGGGGTTTGTGCAACTATTCCCAGTGTGTAGCACAGGGCATAAATAGAAATTTAAAACTGTAAGTTATAGTCACTTTTGAACAATATAGTTGTCTAACCTCATAACGATATAAAACTCATTTCTAACTCACACTTTGTAAGAAATCTCACATTATTGTGCTCTTTTTGAATGCGGGCAAATAAAAATTTCCACTTTTTCATTAATAAATGAAAGTTCATTTTAGACAACTGTGAATTAGAAAAGCTTGAAAACGTAGCTTAGATAAACCTAATGGCTTAAAGCTCAGCCTCACTCGCAGCAAAATGCATCTGGCTCAACAGATCACTGAATGTTTAATATTTACAACAGTAATACTAATAATGCACTTGAGAACCAGAGTTTAGGCTGGGAGGAAGTCCAAGCATCTAAAGGCATAATTTTTTTTTCTCCTGTCTCTAATTCTTAGAAAAGAAAGAGGAATGTGCATCCCCAGGAGGTACAGAAACAGATGATAAAAATTTCCCTGAAGTATGGTGGGATGAGAGTTATTGTGCACACAAAAAGGTAAGACTTTTGAAGGCAAAGTAAATTGAAGTTCTAGGAACAAATTTGTCACCTTGCTGTCTGGAGTAATAAGGCTAATACATGGATAAAAGAGTCTCTTCCTTTAATTGATTAATTATGTGTTGTGCCAGTCAGTACCAAAAGTACTAGACCCTAGTAGTAGTCTAGCACCAGGTGTAATAGTGCAGCACACCCTTCTGTGTTACTGAGTCTCTGCTCTCTCCCAGCCCTGGGGGGGTATTTCTTTGTGGCTCTTCTACCCCAAAAGCTCCAAGAAAAGGCTGGAGATGGGCTCTGGCACCCCCAGGCAGAAAGCAGAGCACAGCCCAGGAGAGCTGCCATGCACTGAACCTGAACAAGGTGTCATTAGCCCCAGAAATGCTGTGCTCAGGGACATGTTCTGTATTCCAGTGCAAGCTGGATAAAGCCCTTTCTGTCCACATCTCTGTGTGACAGAAGATTGGCTGAAACAAGGAATTAGTGAGCAGAAAAAAGACCCCTGCTCTCACTGCTGGCTGCCTCAATCTCACTGATGCCTCATCCAAAAGCTGAAATATCATCCTAGTTATTGATATTTTTGGGTAACGGTGTTTCCAGAGAAGCAGATGGCACTGCTCATCACTATTCCACTGACCTCTGTCTCCTCCTGTTATTGATCATAGCTTCTCCCTCCGGCAGAAAGCCAGCAAATTATCACTTTGAATAAAGAGCTGAGGCCAAAGGTAAGGAAAAGAAATGAAGAGCTGTGTAAGAAAGAGAGATTAATAGCAACAGTAGGCACACTGGGAGAACAGCAGTTGGGCCAGTGTGTTTTGATGTCTAGATAGGGAAAGGTCAGAGAAATTGAGTATATGGACTTCACTTGGAAGTGTGGGTTGAGTCAGAAAAAGGCTTTGCATGACAGTGCCCCTAGAAATTCCCACCTCCCCATCCCTCAGCTTTTGAACTAAGGCAAGCTTATCATTATCCAAATATAATCAAAGTATACAGAAAAGCACTCATGCTTGTGTTATGAATTATTCTCACAACAAGCATGTTGTGGGAGAGATGCAAATCACATGCAGACAAGCAGTAGAGGAAAAGATAAAGGGGAAGTGGTCTCCTCTCTAGGAAAAAGTTTTTCAGTGTTCATAAGGCTTGCAATTCTACCACGAGGAATGGTTTGCTTAGACTGTCACCTTCTTTTCAACCTTTCTAGTCTTTGCATCTCCAGGAGCTATAAAAACTTCAGCACCTCCTGCCCACATTGTGCATTGCCCAATCTTGCAAATGCACTTCTACCAACAGTTTAAACCATACTGATATTTCAGTTTACTCACTTCAGTCAGATTGTAAGGACTTTGTTAACCCTGGACTAGAAATGAATGCCAACCCTCGTTCAGCTGAACCAGCAGCAATTTTTCTCAATGCAGACAAGGCCACAGTGGAAATATAAAACCCTTCCTGCTGTGTTAAGAAAAGCTCTCAGCTAAACTTGACTCTTCATCTAAACATATGGGTGGAGGGAAGTACATTCTCAAGAATTACCTGCTCTAGGAAGACTGCAATATTTGATCTGTGGTTCCTGAAGCAGAATGGGTCAGGGAACTGAAGTGGTCCCCAAGTACAGCTCAGTGTGTTTAATGCTGGTTAAGGTGCAGCTCATTATCTGTAAGGATAAGATCTTTCATAAAGTAGTTGAGGCATACATTCAACTGGTTCTGTGCATCCATATGCCAGCCTTTCTCTGGACACAAAAAATCCTGGAACAGCTCTAATGCAAGGGGCTGATTCATTCCCAGAAGCATTCCCTTTTCACGCTTACTGGTTATGCTTTGACTGTACTATAAAAAAAAAGCAGCAGGGTTTGCAGTTTTAACAGGAAATAAATGAAAACTAAAAAAAACAAACCCACACCACAGTCAAGCTGAGGATTAAAAAAATATATATAACTACACACTGCCCTCTGGCTCCTGTATTGCTACCACAGAGATATGCCTGTAATCATCACTGCAGACTGCTGGGATTGAGAACAGGTCGGTTATCAGGAGCTCTCCTAAGCCTATTTGATACAGTTAACACTTGCAGGCAAAATTAATTCCTACATCACCTGATGGAGGAGCTGGCCGACTTCAGAGATGTGAGAATCCAGACAGACTGCAGAGCCTTGCCCCTGGTCCAGCAGGGAGTGATGCTTGCAGTGCCATAATTAACTCAACAAGTATTAAAAACGTTTCTGAGGTGTTCACACAAAGATAATGGGTGTTAAAAAAAGCAACAATTTTCACTGGTGAGCAGGCTGTAGCTTCCAGCCAGGCATGCCACTCAGACTAAGACACTGAAAAGAAATGGTCTGCTGTTTATAGTGTATAAGCCCACAATTTTTATTGATAAAATGTTGGAGACTGACAGTCCTACACTGCTTCACTGCATCTCAATGCACTGTAGTGCCTTACAGTGCAGCTTCGATTTGCCATAATTGGGTTCAACTGTGCTAATCCCCTTGGAATGCAGCAATTAATACTTATTTAGTGGTAATGGCTGCATTCCAAGAGGATTAGTCCCTGCCCTGCACTTTTGCCAGCAAATGGAGAGCTGGAAAGAAGACAGTGTCTAACTACAGGTCTTGCTTTGCAGCTCCCAACAGGGAGACAGAAGGAGTTGCTCTTGCTACAACTGCTCCCCTTTGTGTATGAAAACACTGCTTTTCCAAGGAAAACCCACCTGACTGTCACTACTCCTTGCAGCTGCATCGAGCAAATAGAAACCCTGACACGTGCAACAAGAAAAAAAAAAAAAGCCAAACATAAAAAGGGACACCTGTGCAGGACCACAAAGACAAATATGGCCAGGAGTGCATGTTTCCTGTGGGAGATTATAAACAGGCCCTGATGCAATGCAAAAACATATCGCTATTCGTTATTTCAGGGATTTTTGTGACTGGCAGTTTCCTTTTTCCTGCTACGGTCTTAAAAATCTTCAGTGCAACAAGGTTTGTGGAAACCTATAAAGGATTTGTAAGGAGAAAGTTAAAATGTACCCTCTTTGAATGCTCAATTTTGAGACTAGTGAATCTGTAATATCCAATTTTTCCCTCCCCAGTGACACCTTTATGATCTGCTCTGGATTTTGTTGTTGTTAATGCACTCAAGAGACCACTGCTTATATCATATTTTAAGGAGGAGAAACAGTGCTTCTTTTCTTTTCAGTTACTCAAGCTACTCTTCCTGGCAACACCAACAACCCTGTTAACTGCAGGTGAGTTTCCCCAATTACATTGCAGTATTGTAGAAAAATTCTGTGACTTTATCACTACACACATGCTCAAAATGCTCACTTTAATTATAGAACACCTTCTGTATTTTCTTGCATGGCTGTACAGAATATGACTTATCAGGCTATGCCTTTTATAAATATAAAAATATTGAAAAGCACACACATTTTAAGGTCTGTGGCAAGCATCTACTTCTCCTTTATTCTCCTCCCCTCTTTACCCCTGACATACACCTCTTCAGCATGTTTCAAATGCTTACCTGAGGAAAAACTCAATTAAATTAACCGAAATTCATTTAAGCATTTAAAACAAATAAAAAGTCCAATTCATACTTGATTAGACAACTGTTTTCTGGCTAAAAGACAACAGGAAATTAGTGTGCAATGTTCCTATAATCATACAATTATAGGAATTGTATGATTTTGCAACAAAGGGTTTGTGCAACTATTTCTCTGCTTATCTCTAAACAATTGCCATCTTTCAGTCTAGAAACAGTTACTTGTTAACACTGGAAGATGTTTAACAGTTTCCATTGGCATAAAAACATCACAGGAACACAAATTATCTTCAATGTTTTCACATAAATATACATGCTTGGATATGCAATTACACACTATTTCTTGACACTGTCTGCCCCTTTGCACACACATCCCCTCTGTTTGGTTTTGTCAGCTTACTCTGTGCTTGTAACAATCACAGATTTATTTAAAAAGCTTTAAAATTAATTACTCACAGATTAAAAACAAGTCATCTTACTCTTCAAATAAAGCATTCCTGTCATCTAAGGGTATCAAGATGAGTTACAAGTATTTTACATGAGTGCTACAAACTGGTATCTACATTTTTATAGGTAAGGGGAAGGGAAAAGTAATCATGCAAAGTAAATTTACAATCTGAGTCAGTGACAGTAGCAAAAATAACATGAAG